TCATTTTTAAAGGATTCTGAAATTTCTTCTCTTGAGGCTAGAATAAATAAACTAAAGGCTAAGTTAGAACAAATAGCACAAAAAGCTTTATTAAAGGATACCGATACTACCCAGTCTCTTCATGAGATTAGAGTGAAGGAATTGAAAAATGAACTAGAGCAAGTTATATGAAATTTAACATTTAAGGATAGATTAATTTTCTGCCTCAGGTCTAGAGTAAGTGATCTAGAAGATGAACTAGAACAAATCTCTCTAAAACCAGACCCATCATCTAATGATTCAAAAATAGGTGGTGATGCAGTAAAAGAGATTTCTTTAAAACCAGATCCATCATCTAATGATTTAAAAACAGGTGGCAATGCTATAGAAGAGGTATCCAGTTTCTCTAAAACCCTCTCTTTGTCTTCACACCACTTAGAGCTTAAACCTGATGAAAGTAAAGTAAAAGATGTGGTAGAGCCCCTGATAGACCATGCCTGCAATAAGCAGAAAAAGAAACTCGATAATATTCAAGCCTTACCTATTGTTACATTAGGGATCGGCAATGCTTTACTTAATGATCAGTATATAATTCCGCTTGTTATTTTAGCCTTAGTAGTAATATTAATTATATAGTATATATATAGGTGAATTTGTCGCTCAATCAAAAAGAAAGAAATTTTTTATCCAATTTATAGAAAACAAAGTTATAGATATCCAATCTGTTATGCAGAAGAATTCAAAGACAGAAATATCTCCTATAAAACTTCGTCTTTTGGATATAGATGAAGTTACAAAGTATGAATCATTCTGAAATATTGGTCATCCGGTGATGACATGGCCTTTCAGTATGCTAGTCAGTGGGAGGAGTGGTACAGGTAAGACTAATTTACTTGCAAATCTTGTTCTTGGTAATAAGGATGAATATGTGCAAAGAGGAAAAAAGGATGGGTCTCGCTACATTAAATGTGATGATCTAATTATTTGTGGGTATCATCCCGATGAGCCAAAATGGGCATATGTGAGATATATATAAAATCTAATTTCAAAAGACCCAAGAGCACCTTACTATGAGGATATTAGTTTCAGTTACATTTCTCTCGAAAAAATTCCTAGTACAAGAACTTTCTCACCTGAAAGAAGCAAGTTAATTATTATTGAGGATCTATGCTTAGCTCCAGAGCATATACAAAATCGAATTGGTTAGTTTTTTGGGAATGGATGTCACCAAAATATTTCATGTATATATGTAATGCAAAAATATCATAAAGTCGATACATTCATTTGTAAAAACTCAACTCATTTAATATTATTTAACTCTGGTAGCAGTATTCAAGACGTATCTAAGATTGTTGGATGATATACTAATAATGTAAAGGGCGCATCCATGGTTATTAATAGCTACCTCCGCAAAGGTGAGTTTGTTGTATTTGATCTCACTAGGTCAGAGGATGATCCTCTAGCAATTCGGCTAAGATTTGACACACCATTAAACCTGCAGAAAGAAATAGAGACAAGGCAGAAGCGGAAGGAAAAAAATGCCTCACTAATTCATAAAACTTTTTACTGCACTCTTGCAAGCTCAGAGATGCAGAAATTGATTACCTTTGATATATCTATAACTTATAGTAGTTTGCATGCGATGTGTACTCCAAAAAGGCATACAAGTAGATAGACTCAATTAAATATATTTATTCATTATATACTGTAGTTGTTCACCATTTTCCTAATGCTATTCTTGAGATCACAATTGAATAATATAATTTATACATTAATATTTACTTGCAATATATGCAAGAAAGAAATAAAAATCTATGAAGTGTATATTAATAACTTACATTTTTTTCTATTCTTGGCTACGTACAAATTTGAATCGTGATATTCCTTAATATAGGTTGATAAAAAATCGCTAAAAATGCTATAAATTGCTAAAAAACGCTATAAATCAATAAAACATTAATTTGTTAATAAATATGACTAATACAATCATTATTGATGAGATTTATAATAAATCCATACCCAAACCTGTTAATTTTTGTCCAGGATATGATTTGGACTATGTAATAAAGGATTTAGTACAAGCTAATTGTTATAACTATAACCATGTTGAAAATATATATAAAATAGAAAAAAAAATATGATGATTTAGCTATTATTAGACCTTATGAAACACCTCAACAGTGGGTTATTTGTATAAAAGATGATTTGAAAGAGTTACTTTCTAGAGAAAGACCTAGTATTTTCCATGTATACTGCCTTTTTGGTTTATTTGGACAAGGAAATATTAGGACATATTTTGAAAATCACAGACTGAAAATAGATCATATCAGCTATCAAAGACCTAAAGTTCACAAAAGTCAGATAGCTTTATGCTTTAAATGCTGGAGATTAGTAAAGATTACTAAAGTAGAGCCAAAAAGGGTATATTGGGATGGATAGCGCAGATATGGTTATGAGATTAAATCCAAGGATTTAATGCAATATCATTGGAATAATGAATGCTTCAAAACCAAAATCCAAGATGAGTCAAGTTCATTGTCTCCTCCTCCATTGCCACCAAAACCCATTATATTAATAGGCGGTCTTTCAAGATACATATATAAACATAATGCAAGTATATCCAAGATTAAAAATCTCTGGAACGATCAATCAAATATGCCTAACATTTCTAGCAGGACTAGTTTAGACAACTTTGCCGATGCATATTTCAATTCTGTGCGAAAAAATGCAAAGGAGATAGACTTAATATCTTTCAATTAAATATTAACATAAATTTATTTATAATAGTTGTCCACCATTTTCCTAATACCATTCTTGAGATTATAATACTACCTTGTAATTTTATCGCTCGAAGTCAGTTGTCATAGTTGATTAAGAAGCAAGAGAAAAAATAAATAAAAATAAATAAAAAATTAATTAAAATTATATTTTATATGAACAGAGTAAGTTTATTTTGTCTATTTTTTTTTTTGCGGACTGAAAAACCACCCAAGCCAAAGTACTGAGCCACTAGCAATGATGATTATGCTCTTTCGAATATACAACACACATAGTCAGAGGCCCTATCGTCAAGAGGTAAAGACTCAAGTGAAATTTTTAACCTGGATGAGGATATTGTTTCAGATAATAAGGTAAAAAAGACTGGAGGAAGAAAATCGAGAACTGAAACTGTTCGCGTTTCTGATTCTATTTCATCTACTGAATCTTCTGAAGATGTCTTGGATT